GGCGAACGGCTCTGCCTTCTGCAGCTCGTGTTCTGCGGTTTCCTTGAGGGTTTGTGGTGCTTGAACTGTCTTCTCAAGACCATCAGAGTGTATAACGTTTTCCAGGTTTTTTAGAAATTCATTTATTGCTATACTGAACTATGTTCTAAAACACCTGTTTTAGAAACTCTGAATTTTTATGTTAAAGTGTGATTTTTGTTACAAAAATGAGACCTGTGCCAGCTGAGTCACACGGCGCTGAGTCAGGTGGCCTCGTGGGTTTCAGAAGGCGGGGCCCCTCCTGGAACGTTCCTTACCTGAGCTGGGGCGATTCTCAGTGTGACCTGATGGATGTTGGGTCGCTTTCTTTAGCCCCTTTGCATGTAGTGGCTTATACAACGTGTGTCGAAGTTGCTTGCCAGGAAAAAGTCATGGAAACCAGTTCCTTCAGCCAAGTGGCAAACCACGGATGTCAGTAAACTCTGCTCACCGGCTGCAGAACTGACAGTAATAACGTCCGTAAATGCTGTTTTCAAACAATTGGAGTGAGACGTAGCAGCGTTGGTTCGGGACAGAGCGCGTCCTGGCATCTGTGCATCTGTGGCCTCACGGAGCCGGCAGGACCCGCCACACCTCAGCTCCCCACCCCGTGTGGTCAGCCTGGCACGGGGCTCTGTCCCTCTCTGAGCCGCGTCACGAAAATCTCGCTTCCTTCCTCACATTTATGCATCTATGGGGAAACTGAGGGTGACCAAGGGCGAGGACACTGCCCCGGGCTGCATCCGGGTGTCGCCCACGGCGCAGAGACTCAGAAGGCCCCTCTGGCCCTGTCAGAGCACAGGCTCGATGCAGCGGACGTGGCTGGACGTCCACACTCGCTGCGGACCCCTCGGCGGGCGGGCCACACGTCTGGAAGAACAGCCGCTGCCTGTGCGCCCCTTCACGTGTCGCGTGTCGGGCGGAGGGAGCAGGGTCCCTGTGCGGGAAAGGCATGTCGTCCCTTTGTTAGGCGCTGACACCGCCATTGTCCCCGCAGCCACCGAGACGGCGCAGCAGCTGAAGAGGACGGCGGGGGTGCCCTTCCACGCCAAAGGCCGGGGGCCGCTGCGGAAGATGGACACCACGAGTAAGCCGCGCCGGCCGCCCCCTCCCGCGTCTGCGCAGGCGCTGGCCCAGAGCTGCCGTCACTGTCACGTAGGAGGGTGTCATTAAACGAGATCTGAGCGCTGGCAGGCCTTGGGGGCCCTGGCAGGCTGTTGGCAGGCGCTGGGCAGTGAGGCCGGAGCGTGGGGCAGCCTCTGAGGCGGTCTCTTCCAGGAGGGGTGGGCAGGGTGTGCGCAGGTGTGCTGAGGCGGGAATGAGCGGGTGGCAGGGGATGCCCCCCCCACCCACCACGCTATCCTTGTGCTCTGCGTCTCGGTGCCGGCGAGGAGGGGGTGCCACTCACGGAGTGAATGTGGCCCTTCCTCATGAGCTTCAAGACCGACTGGGGAACGGGTGGCCTGCGACATGGGCCTCCTGGGGGTTGGGAGCACAACGCGCCACCTGCACATGACAAGCAGACGGCTTACCCTGCCGGTTGCCTGCGGGAGGCAGAGACAGACAGCCGGGAGGACAGGACGGACATTCTCCCGAGTCCCATGTCCCCCACTGCCCAGGACGCGGGGAGGACGGCCACGTGCAGACAGCAGACAGGCGTGACACTGAGCCACTGGGGGGCCTTGGGAGGCGCCCTTTGTGGGGCCCAGCCCCTCAGCTCACTTCTGTCTGTCACAAGCAGACCCAAGGTCCTCACACTTTCACATAGGACCTGCTGTCTTGGTGTCAGCTCCTTGTCCTGCGTGCATTGCGTGGGCGCCCCCTATGGGGCCCGGGCCTGCCTGCTGGGTGCCATCATGGAGCCTGGGGGCAGGGATGCGAAACCCTGGTGTGTCCAGCGACGTCCTGACAGGCGCAGGGCTAGGCTGGGGGAGGGAGGGTGATTCAGTGTGTGCAGGCGTCAGGCCCGTGACAAATCCCCTCGGCAGAAGGTGCCGGGGCTGGAGGCCGAGCGTCTCTCATGCAGGTGCGACGCCGCGTGTCAGGCGCACAGCTGTCGAGGTGGCAGCTGTTCACTGGTTTTGGCAAAAATGTCATGAGTGGGCTGTGATGTCATTGTTTGCCAAGGCCTTGCTCTTGTGGGCCGGCCATGGAGAGTGGGCGGGTGGCAAACATCTCAGGGACGTCCCCTCCCCGCCCTCGTGGAGGTGCACGAGTCGGGGGTCTCGCCAGGGCGCACGCCTGCTCAGCACCCAGCAGGGCGTCGTGTGCTGGCGGGGGGCCGTGGGCCTGCGCCCCAGAGCACGCCAGCAGCCTCTGCGCGAGGGGAAAGCGGGGAGCGCGGAAGTGGCCGCAGACGAGCCGTCTCTGCTGGTCATCGCCACCGCACCACTGAGCGCTGTCCTCCCTGCAGCCCCACTCAAAGGCATCCCGAAGCAGGCGCCCTTCAGGAGCCCCACCACGCCCAGTGTCTTCAGCCCGGCCGGGAATCGGACCCCCATCCCGCCCTCGAGGACGCCACTGCGGAAGGAGAGGGGCGTCAAGGTGGGCCCCCTCCCGCGGCATCTGGCCCCCCCCGGCTGGCCTCACGCCTGCGCCGCAGCTGAGGGTGGGCTTCTGTGTTTTGGCAGCTGCTCGATATTTCCGAGCTGGACATGGTGGGCGCTGGCCGAGAGGCGAAGAGGAGGAGGAAGACGCTGGGTGCGTTTCCGGGGCTCCCTACCGGGGTCACGGCCACGGACGGAGGCGGCCATGGGCGGCCGGGCTTCTTCTCCCCTCCTGGAGGCCTGTTTCTTGTCTCCCTGGTGCCTTTTGTGTCTCAGCATGGTCACTTTTAACTGAAGAGGTGACCGCAGGTGGCGGCCCTTTTCCTGAGGGCTCACTTTGCTCTCTGCCCGTGACCTGGGGGGCTGGCTCGTGCGGCGGGTCAGGCCGGCCTTGCTGAGCCCAGCCCTGACGAGGACCCCGCTTCGTCAGCAGACACAGAAGTGGTAGAGAAGCCAGCCAAGGAGGAGACGGTCATCGAGAACGCCACCCCGGACTACGCAGCCGGCCTGGTGTCCACTCAGGTAGGGCCAGCGCCCCCGCCTGCCAGTCTCGCTGTCCAGTACGTCCGCGGCCAGAGCATGTGCCCTGGTGTTCTGATGATTAGCCACTGGGACGTGCTGTCGGAGCATACGTGTGTATGTACACGCGTGTGCTATCAGCGCATACATGTGTATGTACACACGTACAAGCACGCACGTGCAGGGTGCGTGTATGCGCATGTACATGGACAGGTGTGCACCAGTGCCAGCTCCCCTGGACCGCCTGTAGGGGGGGGAGGCGAGGCGCCAGGGCCCCCGGAGAGCATTTGGCCTCTCCCAGGACGGACCCGAACTCTGTCTTCCAGAAACTCGGGTCTTTGAACACGGAGCCTGCGCTGCCGTCCACCAGCTACCTGCCTGCCACACCCAGTGTGGTCCCAGCCTCGTCCTACGTCCCCAGCTCTGAGACCCCACCAGGTGAGCGGGCACAGGCTCACCAGGTGGACGGTGTGCCGGGGTCAGCCTGCCCGAGGCTCCTCCCCAGCACCCACCTGGCAGTGACCCCTGCCCACATGGTGCTTCCTGGGCCGTCAGGACATAGCCCTGCTGGTGCTGGCCGGCCCCCTGGCTGGCACGGTTTAAAGGAACAAACCCAGTTTTCACCTGCTTTGCCCTTCCTGGGGAAAACAGGCAGCTGCTCATTGTGCATGTGACAGGAGCGAGTCCCAGCTTAGAGGTTGTCAAGGTGACAGCACCTCAGGGTCCAAGAGTCCTTTCACAGCCCCAGAATTTCAGAGAAAAGGTATTGAAGGGAAGAGTGGACTCAGAGGGTTCTGCTCTGAGGTTCTGCTCCGTGGGGCTCGGCGTTGCTGCCGAAGCCTGCGCCTGGGGAGGGGCAGCCAGGGGCAGCCACGGGGTCTGGCAGCCAGATGGGGCTCGAGGCTGTCTTCCTGCCTCCTCACCAGCGCCCAGGCCAGGAGCTGACCAGAGCCCAGGCGTATTGTCTGCAAAGGCCTAAGACCTCCGGCTCCAGGCTGGGGCCCTCGGGGGCTGTGCCCCTTGAACCCCTGGAGGTGCTGCTCAAGGCCCTTGTGCCCGCTGCCAGGGGCCTGCTGAAGGCCGAGGGGCCCGGAGCCGAGGGCTGTCGGGGGCAGGGAAGTAGGGCAGAGCCTCGCCATTCCCCTAGGAGTAGCAGGGCCGGGCACAGCCTGGGGAGTCCTGGTCCTGCCGGCCCCTCAGGCCTCATTCTGCTCACAGCCCCGTCTTCCCGGGAAGCCGGCCGGCCGCCGGAGGAGCCCAGCGCCCCCAGCCCCGCCCTGCCGGCGCAGTTCAAGCAGAGGGCCCCCATGTACAACAGCGGCCTGAGCCCGGCCACGCCCACGCCTGCAGCTCCCACCTCACCCTTGACGCCCACTACGCCCCCGGCTGTCGCCCCTGCTGCCCAGGCACCTCCGGTGGCCACGGTGGCCCCACAGACCCAGCCCCCCACCCAGCAGCAGCCCAAGAAGAACCTGTCCCTCACGGTAGGTATGCCTTGGAGGGGCTGCGGGCCACCGGGCGGGCGGTGGGGCCTGGCCTCCCGCGCCGGCAGCACAAGGACAGGAGGTGGCAGGCTGGGCCCAGGCCCTCACGCCCCACGCCCTGCACCCTGCAGAGGGAGCAGATGTTCGCTGCCCAGGAGATGTTCAAGACAGCCAACAAAGTCACGCGGCCCGAGAAGGCCCTCATCCTGGGCTTCATGGCTGGCTCTCGAGGTGCGTCCATGCTGTTGGCCGGGTGGGGGGCGGGGGCCCGGCTGGGGTGGGGGACAGGCCCCTTGGCCCCAGGTGCCCGCCCAGCAGCACCCACCCTCCACAGAGAACCCGTGCCAGGAGCAGGGCGACGTGATCCAGATCAAGCTCAGCGAGCACACGGAGGACCTGCCCAAGTCGGACGGCCAGGGCAGCACCACCATGCTGGTGGACACGGTGTTCGAGATGAACTACGCCACGGGCCAGTGGACGCGCTTCAAGAAGTACAAGCCCATGGCCAACGTGTCCTAGGGCCGCCAGCTCCAAGCGGGCTCCGAGGGACGCGGCTCCGTCCCCCCGTGTGCGGTCGAGCGCCAGCTGACTTAAGCTTTAGGTTCCTCTCTCTCGGGTGTTTTGGACTTATTTTTTAAATTTTAACATGGGTTACTTTTTGTGTGATCTAAGACTTTTTTGGATTCGATATTACATTTTTGAATGTTAAAGTTAACCAAAAAAGTTCTAACTTCCTAGTTTTAGCGACAGCCGTTAGACTTTTATCTTTTTTACTTTTCTTAAATTCCACTGACGAGGGGAGGTGTTTCTCGGCTCTCCTGCCCCAGGAGGTTGAGGGGACCAAAGGTGGCACCCGGCGTGGCTGGGGGCGGGAAGGCTGGGCCACTCAGCAGCTGCTGGGCTCACCTCGCCTGCGCGATCTCCGGGGCCTGCGTCTGCGTGAGAACCGCTGGCCCGAGCTGTGCTCCCGCCAGCTCAGCCTCTCCGTGCCCGTGGGGAGGATGTCCAGGGCTCCCTCCTGGGACCTGGGGCGCAGCCGGCTGCGGGGCTCCCCTTGCCTTGAGCGTGTGCCTCACCTTTAATGGGACTTGGGAACCAACTTAATATTTTTAAAATAAAAAAAAATTTCCCAAACCAGAACTACACTTACTGTTCTCGGTTTTTGTTTTACGTCCAAAGGCCATGTCGCCTCTGCCCTGCAAGTCAGAAGCAGAATGGCCGTCCTGGGACGGAGCCCTTCTCCAGGCAAGGGGTGTCAGGGCTGTGCCAGGTGCCTGGGAGTGACAGTTCAAAGTGACCGGAAAGGTGGAAGAAAGCCCCAAACTTCACAATGCGATCTCATATAAAATAAGTTTAAGAAAAAAGCCTTTAAAAAATTTTTAATACAAAAATACTCATACACAATCTTCCAAACACAACTTCCCACTTTAAATGCTATGCTCCCCAAGTCTACTTTTCAATACAACCCCCCACCCCAAAGCGAGTTTCAAGTTTTCATGTCTATCAAAACTGGTGACAGCACCCAGTGTCCCTAAAAGGAGCCTGGCCTCGTATAGTTTAGGCACCAGGAGGCACGTTTAAAATCACACGTAATTTCTGACGGTAGTTCACATCTCAGCAGGGTGCAGTGGACACTGTAATGGCCCGTGGGCACAGACAGCATCTCACTCTACTGGCTAAAATGCATCCAACACGACACTTCTCAGAGGGTCAAGAATTTGGCAACTGACAGTTATTTGCATTAACTTCGGTTAAAACTGGCTCATCTTTGCTGAATGTAAGGCCGTGCTGGTGGGCGCCGCAGTGTGGTTTACACAGTGGACACTTGGAGGTGCCAGAGGCACAGACCTGAGTGGCGGGGCCCCGGAGGCGAGGGCAAGGCTGGGTGTCCACGCGGCTCCCAGGGCAGGGGTGTGTCGCCGTGCGCTGTGGGTGCCACAGCTGGTTCCCACAGGGGTCACGCTGGACGCGGCCCTATGCCCAGGGCCGCAGCGCACGGGGGACGGGCGGCTCTCCTGGCTCCGCTTCACGCTGCCCCGGGGCTGCGGCCCACGTCTAGGCCTGAGCCCCGCCCGGAAGCCTGGTTGTGCTCCGTCCGGTTCACAGACTGCTTTCTGAAGACGTCCAAGTTAGTGTTATTTGCTTATTTTAAGTTTTTGGAACGAGGGCAACCATATTGACAATTTTTCTAGTACTTTCCTTCAGAAAGATCACAAAAGAATTTGGAAATAATACCAAAGCGACTTAAAAATCAAGATTTTACTAACGTTAATACAAAAATAAATTACTCTGCTCACCAAAGTGCACTGCGGAACCAAGTCTGATGGTCTGACTTCCACAGACGTCCCTCAGCTGCCGGGAAGGACACGCGATGACACTGCTCCACGCCGGGGCCTCTGGCCCTACAGAGCAGGGCCACGCCCATGGCCACTGTGCCCAGACCCAAAACCCGCAGGTGGCTGAAGGCCGGGCCGCTCGGCCATCATGGACACGGCCAACCCACTTGAGAGCATGAGGCGCATTAATCTGTAAGCCAATCCAGCATTTTCAAGACAATTTGAGATTCCAGAATTGAGTTCTAAAGCGGAACACTCCATGGTCCCACCTTGTCAAGCACAGGCACCTCAGAGGGACCTGAGCCGCACATGCGGAGGCAGTTGGCTGCTGACGAGGCCCCGGTCCGCCTTTCGGCTCTGCATCACCTGCTCTTCCCGGGACCGCGGCAGGAGAGCGAGGGTGCAGCCGGCCAGCGAAGCTCTGCTCCCCACAGTCAGCACTCGGGGCGCGGGCCCCTCAGGCTGGAGCAGACCCCCACTGGGGTCAAGTCATGAGACCCAGAGAGTCGCGAGGGGCCTGGAGGCCAGGCCGCCCTGCAATCCTACGAGGCAAAAACCAGCACAGGAGAAACGGGCAGGCGGCCTCACAGTAGTTTGCGGCAACAGCGGTGTAAACTTTGCAGAATCGTTCTTCGGTGGTTTCAAGGAGAAAGGCCAGAAAACAGCACCTGTTACTGAGTGTGCCCCACGTCGAGCGCTAGCTGGCCTGGGGACGCACAGCACCCCCGCCCCCACAGCCAGGGGGCGCTCCAGGGAAGAGGGCCTGTCGCCCTGAGAGCTGGGCACTGGCAGCGGCTGCCGGGCCCTCCCTGGGGCACAGGCGCCGAGCAGCCCCCAGCACACCTCGCGTTCCTCGTGAGCAGGCCCACAAAGGGCGATGGCACGGAGGTGACTTCGGATGACAGCAGCTCCAAACTCTAGGTCACTCCTCAGACCCCCACGCAGAGCAGTTTCCAGAAACGCACGTGTCCTGCGCTCTGGGGCCGCAGAAGCCCTTCCCCAAGGAACCAGGCCGGCCGCACGAGTAAACACGCGTTTCAGTCAGTGGGGTATTGGTGAGAAGTTTAGCAAAAATATATTGAGGATAAAAACCAAAAACTGGTAAAAACCCACTAAAAAGACCCCACAAAGTACCCCAAGTGTCAGCAAGAGCCCTGTGCCAGCCAGGCGGGCCGCCGCCCCACGGGGCTGCCAGCGGTTCACATCCACGGACAGAAAAAGCGAAGTGCGAAATCTCACAACACTGTCACCCACCCTCCTGGGCCAGCTTCTCACACGGATGAAAAACAAGCATTGAGGAAAAATTCACATTAGTACAAAAAAACGCAGCTGTTTCATAAGAGCGAAAGTAATGGCCAGAATCATGGTTTCCGAGGAAGTCCGGTCTCGGTCCTTGCCTGGCAGCCCCCGGTCCCTCGAGTGCCCACAGGCGAGGGCCCGAGCCACACAAGGAAGGAGGAGAGGACGGTCACCCTGCAGCAGAAACACGACTCTCCACATCCTGGGTGAGACGGACACGTTTCATATGCCGATTAATTTTCAGTCTCAGCTTTAACCTAAGAAAACAGAGCGGGTGGCAGCCCGGACACTCAGAAATTCAAGTGTAGCCGTGACGCTGGGGAGCGAGGCTGCACTGTCCGGAACGCTCCGGCCCATGCGGCTCAGACTTGGTCAGTGCGGACGCAGCGGGCGGCCCCCAGGAGGCCTGCGCGACGGGCACGCGGCCTTGAGCCGGCCCTCTGGGCTGGACCCACGCCCGGGCCCCTGGCCGCCCAGTGCCGCCCCGGGATCTAGCCGAGTCCCCGCCGAGCGCTATTTGACTTCTGTGACTCT